AAAAAAAGGACACTATGAACTCATCTACAAAATGGAAACACACTTGCAGACATAGTAAACAATCTTATGGTTACCAGGGGAAAGGGGGTGGGAAGGGATAAATTTGGGAGTTTGAGATTTACAAATGTTAGCCACTATATACAAAAATAGATTTTAAAAAAGTTTCTTCCATATAGCACAGGGAACTATGTTCAATATCTTATAATAACCTTTAATGAAAAAGAATATGAAAATGAATATATGTATGTATATGCATGACTAGGATGTTATGCTTTACACCAGAAATTGACACATTGTAACTGACTGTACTTCAGTTTAAAAATTAAATTAAATTAAATTAAAAACAAAAAACAAAAAAAATATTGCTTCTGTTTAATTCTCTCCCTGTGTGTCTTCTTCTGGGACATCAATTACAATTATGCTAAAACCTTTTCACTATATCCAAAATACGAGATACCCTTTCTGTATTTTCCATCCTTTTATCCCTTTGTGCTTCTTTTCAGATATTTTTCTAATATCTACCAATTCACGACTCCTTTCTTCATCTGTGTCTAATCTGCTCTTAACTCATCTAATACGTTCTTATTTTTAATTATACTTTTTCAGTTATACACTTTCCATTGATTCTTTTTTTTTAATATATTTCTATTCTCTGTTGGAATCTTCCATTTTGCCTTTTATCTCCTTGAATGCCTCAGTCAGAGGTTAGTCTATCTATATCTGTCTATATCTGATAACTCCAATAACTGGATTTCCTATGACTCAGTATCTATTATCTATTTCTTCTCTTGGTTTATAGTGATTTGGTCTTGCCTCCTGGTACGCTTAGTAAATTTTGATCATGTGCTACATGCTGTATATGAAAAATTATAGAACCCATGCAGTACTGTGGATGATGCTACCTTTCTCCAGAGATTTTCTTCTGCTTTCATAACACAGTTAGTAAAGAGTCAGACCATCTTAGTCTGGTTTGAGTCAAAGCTGTTCCTTTGTGAGAGCTGATCCTTTTTGGATTTGCCCTTACTGCTGGTATAACCTTTCAGAGGTCCTCACCAAGAGCCTAGGATATTACCGTGGACTCTCTGAGATTGCCAAAGCTTTGCTCAGCTTCTTGGGCTTTAAGTCACTGCTCTTAGGGGTATATGCCTTGAGGGGAATAATAATGTTGTTATGTACTAAGTATTTGTGCCTCACCACTCATAGTTCATATACTGAATCCCTAACCCCCAATGTGATGGTATAAGGAAATGAAGCCTTGGGAAGGTAATTAGGTTCAGATGGGGTCACCAGGGTGAAGCCAACATGATTTTGGATTAGTGCTCTTATAAGATGAGGAAGGGACACAACAGTTTCCTCTCTCTGCCATTTGAGGACACAGAGAGAAGCTGGCCATCTGCCAACCAGGAAGAGGGCCTTCACTAACAACCAAATCTGCCAACACCTTGCTCTTGGACTTCTAGCCTCCATAACTATGAGAAATAAATGTCTGCTGCTTAAGCCATCCAGTCTACGGTATTTTATTTTATAACCCAAGCTGACTAAAATGGAGTCAGAGGTCAGGCTCACCTTTCTATTTTTCTGTTCTCTCCAGCATCTTGCCCTCTCAAGTTCTCACTGTCAGACAGGTTTTTCAAATTATACAGCTGTTCTTCTTGCTTGAGGTGGGAGGTTTGGTTTGATCCAGGCTGGTGTTCCAGAGCCAGAAGTAGAGGTCTCAACTATTCCCTTAGCATAATTCCTCAGCTATAATGATGGTTAGCACAAAAATTAAGGTTTAGGGTAAAAGCTTTGGTGTAATACATTCCATATGGGTGGCTAAAAAAAAAGTCCAAATTGGTTCAACTGATTGGAAAAAGTAGAAAATTATAGTTTTCTATTAAGGGAAATTATTCTAACTAAATTAGTATAAGAAGTTTTGAGCAGTCACTGGAAACATACGATATATCACAGCTAATTTCCCAATACTTTTCCCACAGTGAAGTATATCTTTGGTTTATAGTGGTAAGAATTAGAGGAGCTGCTAGCATTCCCAGCCCTCTGCCAGGCTCTGGATCATGCTGCCAGATGCTGCCAGGTCCCTATGAAGATAACAGGGGGAGGGCATAGCTCAGTGGTAGAGCGCGTGCTTAGCACACACGGGGTCCTGGGTTCAATACCCAGTACCTCCATTAAATAAATAAATAAATAAACCTAATTACCCAGCACCCCTCCCCCTAAAAAAGAAGACAATGTATCTCAGTATCATAGCCTAGGCAAACTCACTCAAAGAACATACAGCAAACAAATGTAGAGTCTTATCTCACTTCTCTAAAAGTTTCAGAAATTGTTCTTTTAAAGTACAAACATCCATAAAAGCTGAGAAGATGAAAACAGAAGACAACTTTCTATAACACAGGAGAGATGTGATACTGCCAACTACTTGTCAAATGACAACTGCTGCTTTAAGCTTTGCCCCAACAGATGGCTCATGTCACATGAGTGAAAAGGTCATTAAAGTACAAAGTTCAACCTGTTTCGGCAGAGTATCAGGATGAACTGGGTAACCCGAAGGCCAGGCTGCATGCTGTATGCTGAATTGCATGTCCTATAAGAAAAGAGGGAAGATAGAGCAGGTGGGAAGGCTGAGGGGACTGGCTACAGGCACTCATATTCTGATGAGCAAACAGGACTTATCACCAAGGCTGGGCATAACTACTATCAAATGTACAGCTAAGTTTACTAAGTGAAATGCCTTGGGAACTAGATGGATGGAAATAAATCTTGGAGCCCAAGACACCATTCCCTAAGAAGGTTATAGAGGGGCTAACATGATAATGCTTTGGCCTCTCAACACAAATGGGAGACCCAAGACAACAGCTCAAGGTGGATTGCTTCAAGTAACAAAATAAAAGATGATGACAGGAAGTCGATACAGGTCTGTTAACCCCCTGGAGGGACACACGGAGAAGAAAAAGTCGGTGATGGGCAGGTTATAACCACAGAATCTATTAGGATTAAATGGGTCGTCCTTGTAGATCTAGTCTGACCATCTCATCTTACAGAACAGGAACTGACATCTTTTCATCTGTAAGGACTTACATCAAACATCAATTCTTCTGCAGAGCCTTCCACACTCCCACTTGGTGGCTTCCCTCTTTGTCATTTTCTAATCTAAAGTGTGAGCTCCATAATTTCAGACACTCAAGCAGATAGAAGGTCCTCCATAATGTTTGTTGAATGGACAAGTGGAAATTGACAAATGCAAAGTCACAGAGCAGAGACACAGGCCGGTCATCCTGACTTCCATCCCAGACAATTTAGTCAGGCTTCAATGCCAGTTCCCAAGGTTGAGAATACCCTGCAAAAAGTAAAAGATAAAAAAAATTCAAACATAATACAAAATAAAAAGAATGATATAATGAACCACCATATACTCATTACTAATGTGCAACCTCTTTCCATCTATGCCTTCACCCACTTTTCTTACTTCTACATAAAACAATTTCAAAATAACTCCAGATATCATACCATTTCATCTGTAAATATTTCAGCACGTATTTCCAAAATACATGAAAAATATGTTAAAATATTTTAAATACTTTAAAAAATAAGTATAATATTATCATTCTGAAATAACGTGATAATACTTTTAAAATATCAAATACACCATCAGTGTTCAAATTTACAAGCGTCCTGTGAATGTCACTTTTTGAGGGGGGTGGTAATTAGGTTTATTTATTTATTTATTTTTAGAGGATGTACTGGGGATTGAACCTAGGACCTTGTGTATGCTAAGCATGCACTCTACCACTTGAGCTATATCCTCCCCCCATCACTTTTTTAAAAAATCAATTATTTGATTTAGAATCTAAATGTGACTGTTTTCCTTGCAATAGCTTATTGGAGAACTGGGTCATTTGTAGTTTCACAGTATATGGACAGTTTTGATGATGTTCTCACAGCGTTGTTGATCCAGATCAGATCTTGATCGGATGCGGGTTTGATTCATGTGGTGGGGCAGGGGGTAGGAGGGTCAAAATGACTTCACAGTTGGTGCTGAGTTTTTCCGTTACCACATCACGTGGGTTCTCCCTTTTCATGATGTTAGTAGCCACAGCTGATCATGCCTAGATCCATTCATTCCCGTAGGGATACAAAATGGTGATGTTCCATCACTCTTTATTTATTAGCTGGAAATTCTTTAATAAAGTGTAATTTCCCCTCTGCTACCATCTGGCCACCCAAGCCCAATTTTAAAACAATTTAACCAAAACTATGCTTTCTCTCAAGTTAGAATCCTCTGCAGGAGGACGAACAACTTTAAGCAAATCTTCATTTACTCCTTATTTTTTAGTCAAGAGTTAACTGAAAGACGGTGGGCCTGACAGCTGCAGAAAAGACCATCTCGCTTGGTTCAGAGGACCTGCCTGCCCTGAGATTTTCTTTAGAAGCGTTGCTCTAGGGCTTGCTCTAACGGTCTACCCTTTCTCTTTGAAAATGTTTTCTCCTGTAATTAAGGGAGTTTCTAATTTAGGGAACAGATAAAAATTCATCAAAATTATGTTTTTAAAAAGTCATAATCCTGAAGCTGCAAAGATCTGGCTCCAGGGAAATTCTGAATTGAGAAAGGATGCTAATCAGAACAGAATTTAAGACAATAGTTTATAATCTTTCATTCCCAGAACCGAGAATATCCCAAGGAAATGCCGAGTAGAAAAGTAAAATCGGGGATTGATTTTGCATTTTGAGAAACTGACCAAGTTTCTTGATCAAATGCTGATTTCAAGTCTGACTCAAGGTTGAGCAGATAAAAGAAACCTGCAGGGTACCCCGGCTTTGGGTCTCAGCATGCTGCGATTTTGAAAAGCCAGACTCTGGCAATCGGAGACCTCACTTGTTCCACTGCCGCCGAGGAAATGAAGGATGCTTCGCCTCCAGTTCCTGGCTCCTGTTGACATGCCCTCGGGTTCATGCTGGCGCCAGGCTGGGAGGGAAAATGGTCCCTGTCCTGATGTCTGTGGAGGTTAAATGGAGTCTCTGCTCCTCGGCTGAGGAGAGAAAGGCATCTTCCTCATTAATTTCGTAAGGCTGGGGACCCTCGCGGTGATCCAGTTCGGTCAGCTCCGAGAAGCTCTTGTGGCAGCGGGTACCCAGGCCTTCCAGAGTCCCTGGTCCCTCTTGTCTACCCCAGACCCTCAGGACTCAGGCCCTGGGAAAAATCCCGGCCTCTGTCGGGTAGACTCCTCGTAGGCTTTCACTTGGCTTCCTTGTGATTTGCTAACTCATGGTGCAGCTTTGGGACAGTCTGTGCCTCAGTTTCCCCAGCTGTAAGGTAATAATAAGCTAAGTGGAGCCTCGATTAGCAGAATTACCCAGGAAGCTCTTCCAAAACCCTCTGTCAGGGTCCCCCTGGGGACCCACCGGATCATTAAGAGGGAGCCTGGAACTCGCAGTCCTGGAACCCACGATCCCGGCTCTCTCGCCTCTCCAGCGGCTCCACCCTCCGGCCTGGTCTCGCCCTCGGCCGGGGCGGGGTCGTGCACGTCTCCGGGCGGGTTCCGGGAGGCTGGGCGGGGTGGACCCGGCTGGGCAGCCCCACCGGAAAGACTCGTTTCTGCTGGAGCGGGCGGAGCCCGGGCGGAAACAGACTTGTTGCCCCCCCACCCACTGCGCCCCGCCGGGCC